GAATACATAGACCATAATATGTCCCTAGTAAGCCTCTAGTTGACTAGCTCGTTGATCAACAGATAATCATGGTTTCCTGACTATGGACATCAGATGTCGTTGATAACGGGATCACATCATTAGGAGAATGATGTGATGGACAAGACCCAATCCTAAGCATAGCACAAGATCGTGTAGTTCGTTTTGCTAGAGCTTTTCCAATGTCAAGTATCTTTTCCTTAGACCATGAGATCGTGTAACTCCCGGATGCCGTAGGAGTGCTTTGGGTGTACCAAACGTCACAACGTAACTGGGTGACTATAAAGGTGCACTACAGGTATCTCCGAAAGTATCTGTTGGGTTGACACGGACCGAGACTGGGATTTGTCACTCCGTATGACGGAGAGGTATCTCTGGGCCCACTCGGTAATGCATCATCATAATGAGCTCAAAGTGACCAAGTGGTTGGTCACAGGATCATGCATTACGGTACGAGTAAAGTGACTTGCCGGTAACGAGACTGAACGAGGTATTGGGATACCGATGATCGAGTCTCGGGCAAGTAACGTACCGATTGACAAAGGGAATTGAATACGGGGTTGTTTAATCCTCGACATCGTGGTTCATCCGATGAGATCATCGAGGAGAACGTGGGAGCCAACATGGGTATCCAGATCCCGCTGTTGGTTATTGCCCGAGAGTCGTCTCAGTCATGTCTACGTGTCTCCCGAACCCGTAGGGTCTACACACTTAAGGTTCGGTGACGCTAGGGTTATTAGGAAGACTTGTATGTGATTACCGAATGTTGTTCGGAGTCCCGGATGAGATCCCGGACGTCACGAGGAGTTCCGAAATGGTCCGGAGGTGAAGATTTATATATGGGAAGTTGTCATGCGGACACCGGAAAGTTTCGGGGGCATATCGGTATTGTACCGGGGCCACCGGAGAGGTTCCGGGGGTCCATCGGGAGGGGCCACCCCTCTCGGAGGGCCTCATGGGCCGCAAGGGGCAGGGAACCAGCCCCTGGAGGGCTGGGCGTGCCCCTCCTTGGGCCCATGTGCCTAGGGTTGGGGGGGAACCCTAGTGGGGGCGCCCCCTTTGCTTGGGGGGCAAGCCCCCCTCCCTGGCCGCCGCCCCCCTCTAGATCTCATCTAGAGGGGCCGCCCCCCCTTGCCCCTTCCCCTATAAATAAGGGGTGAGGGGAGGGCTGCTGGACACAACCAAGGCGCAGCCCCTCCCCTCCCCAACACCTCTCCTCCTCCGTCACGAGCTTGGCGAAGCCCTGTCGGAGTACTGCTGCTCCACTACCACCACGCCGTCATGCTGCTGCTGGAGCCATCTTCCTCAACCTCTCCTTCCCCCTTGCTGGATCAAGAAGGAGGAGACGTCGTCCGTTCCGTATGTGTGTTGAACGCGGAGGTGCTGTCCATTCGGCACTTGGTCATCGGTGATTCGAATCACGGCGAGTACGACTCCATCATCACCCTTCCATTGAACACTTCCACACACGATCTACAGGTGGTATGTAGATGCAATCTCTCTCCCATGACTCGTTGCTTAGATGAACTCATAGATGGATCTTGGTGAAACCGTAGGAAATTTTTTAATTTTCTGCAACGTTCCCCAACAGGAATCAGCGTCTTTGGCTCATCTTGAGTGGCCTTCATGAGCACGGCATTGAATTCGTTCTGCATGTCTGACATAGAGCCGAAGTTCGAGCACACCTCCATGGTGTTCTCGAACTTGGTTCGGTCATCAGCCTACCACCCGAGGAAGAAGGCCCTCCAGCCAATACCCCAAGGGAAGGGGTTGCCGTTGGAGCTGGAGCTAGAGCTCATGGCGATGGAGAGGAGGAAGGTTGACAGTGAGAGAAGAGAGGGGGTGGGTAAATAGTGGTGGGCAGGGTGAGTAAATATAGGAGGGTGGAGAGGAGAAGAGTGATAGTCATGTCATTTTAACTACAAGCTCTTGAATCAGCCATGAACTCTGTGCAATGCCTGACTCCATGACTTGTGTGCAGATCGAGGATAGCAATGAGATGGGCACGGAGGTGCTCCCGGCCGTTGACAGCAAGGGCAAGCAGCCCCTTCACCCAATGCCTAACGAGGTTGAGCTGACGCCCACCGCCGAGGAAGACCCGAAGACGCCTGAGGGTGGCGACGACGAGGACATGGAAGAGCCCCCCAGCAACAAGCGCCGCAACTACGACCACTACCATCAGGAGGATGGCCCAACCCACTTCTGCAAGGTCATCCTTGCACCGAAGCTTGAGTGCATCCCCATTCCCTTGGACTTCACCAAGCACTTCGTCGCGGTGCCGACGGAGTTCAAGCTCAGGAACAACACCGGCTGCTCTTGGAAGGTGACAGTCAAGCTGATGAGCGACAGGGTGACCCTGGATCAGGGTTGGGCCACCTACGCAGGCGTTCATCAGATCAAGATCGGCTACATGGTGACATTCAAGCTCCTCACTCCCGACACCCTCAAGGTCATCATCTTCGACGACGATGGCATTGAGGTCGTCAACAAGTTCGGGAAGCATGACGAAGCCTTCGCCGCCAAGGAGTAGGGCCGAGGCCCCTCCATTTTAATTACTATCGAGTCTGCTTTGAACTATTTATGGTTTATGCGTTGAACTGTTATATCTACGGTACTGCTTATATCTGAATTATGCTAGTTGATGCTCTGTTTATACTCTATTGTGCTTATGATGTGTGCTGGCGAAGTGTGGTGGTAACTTCACCCTAGCCAAAGAGGTTACCACACATCAGGCCTTGCATACAATCAAACACCATGCCTTGGGTTTGTGCACTAACATGCAGGCAACCAAACACCAGGCAGTGTGGTTCAGCCCATGCAGGTAAGAGGGCATGCAGGCAACCAAACAACATGCATATGGTGCATTTGAGGCTGCATTTGCATAACTAGGTTGGATGGAGAAGTGTATGCAATGCGGGTACTGTGGAGCTGTTTGGTTTGAGCCCCAGCTAGCCCTACCAAAACTTTGGCATGACCAAAGCATGGGCATGACCAAACTTTTGGCAAGTTGTTGTTGTTTGGATTGTGACCATTATATCCACCAAAATTTTGACAACTGGGATCTTTATTTTGTTTGGTTTGCGACCATCTAAACCTCCTGATGATTATACTAGTTATGAAAATATTTGAATGCATCTACTGTTTAAAATTAAGAAAATATATAGATCAAAACTTAGATGAAATCGATGTGAAAATGAAATCGTCAAAATAATAGTGTAAGTCATTGTTGCACTTGTAAGCCGCTAGTAGTTAATTGTCCGCAGCAGCATACATCAGGCATTCTTCTAATCTAAATTGATCCATGCTGCTAATCACGCACAGGTCTACGTACTTGTAGAGTGGAAAAGCGCTGCTGGTTGGTGACAAATCAACATATTCTGCTGCATGCACTGCACAGGGCCCACCAAACAACCGCGCCAATATTTTGGCTGAGCCTTTCCGCGCCCGCGACTCGCCAACAAATCGGCGCTATTAACATGGAGGGGCGCAGGGCGCACTGGGCGAGCCAATTTTCAGGCGCCGATCCAAACGGCCACCAAAATACGTGGGCGAGCCAACTTTTTGGCAGGGCTAGTATTGGTAGCGATCCAAGCAGCCCCTGTAACACACGGCAACCAAACACGCCCTATATGCTTCAGGCACCAGTGGTAAGCTGTTGGCGCCTTCAGGAATCGAACTCGCACCAAACGAGAAGGCATTGGCTTGTTCGAGCTAGGAAGACCACCACACCAATTGGCCACTTGTGATTTTTAATAGCACGAAGTGTACGTGAACTAGTATGGCCGCCCTGCTTATTCATCTTTAAGTTTATTTATTGGACTTTTTTTAAACTATGATTATTTTTATAGAAAATTCGGAAACTATACGTCTTGATGCACAAAAGTCGAATCTATGACACGTCGACCACCTGCTGGCCGAAGATGAGCTTTTCGGCCAACTCCAAGCCAAAGTAGAGTCTTTGGTCTACTTGCAACCGAAGAGTGGTGGAACAGGGCCGAAGAGTACTTTTTGGTCATCTATAGGCCGAAGAGTACTCTTTGGTCATCTGTAGGCCAAAGAGCCCTCTGGGACCCATGCAACTTCGTCCTACCGTTTACGCAAAGAGATGGTCCTACAGGACACGTCGGCCTACAAAATAAGGCGAATGACAAGTTAGCTGCTTTTGGTCGTCCTAATAATAGGACTATGACTTGGTTAGGGTCAGGTCCTCCTGAAGTTTTGAAGATAGTTGCTGAGGATTGTAATGAAACCTTGATTGAGTAATACAAAGTTTGAGCTCGCAACCCGCAAAAAAAAAAAAAGACAAGTTAGCTACTGTTGGTCGTCTTAATAATAGGACTACTAGATCATCGAAGGCGCGCATTGCCGCGCCCGTCCATTTTTGTAATAGAATGGTAGGAAATGTAGCAAGTACACATAAAACATTGGAGTTAAATTTGCATAAAGTTACACACATATTTGTTGGTTACCAAAGAGCAGAATTTAATGAGTTCACGGGGAAATAATGCGGTGCTAGGTGACCATAGAACATGCAAACACAAAATATTGAGAATAATTCCCTACAATAATCTTACAGGCACAAAAGACATGTGCCGAAGCTTTAAGGACAAAATACAAATTACCAATCGGGAAGAAGTTTCTTTTTTTTTCTTTTTCTTTTTTTTTTTGAAACGGAGGCAAAAGTTTTGCCTCATCCATTAATTAAGAAGAAGAGAGTTGCCTAGTTAATTTATGGAAAACCAGGCGAAAACCATCACAACCATGCTCAAAAGCACGACCCCATCCACATGTGAACTACTCCCGAATCATGGAGCCACGGGACCGAAGCACCCAACACACTACTACTGCAACCCACAACATATGGGTCACTGTACTGCAAAAGAAAACCAATCGACATAATGCAACTCAAAGAAAACACATCGACGAAAACCACCCCCATGACCGAGCACACATCTGCAACTCAGAAAGCCGAGAACCATCCATCATGGAACCATTTGCGCCTCCCCTCTAGCGCTATCCTTCTTGCTTTTCCTCCTGCAAGATTTCTCTTTGAGGATGCCAGATCTAGAGTTAGCGCCACCCTTCTTGTGCTTCTCCCTCAAAGCTTTTTCCTCCAAGAGGCATCCAATCGTCTTTCCAGAATTTTCAGAGTCCAGGTTGGCTAGGAATTCACATATCTTGGTGGCTAAAAGGACACCAGGATTAGGCACCAACACTCCGGCCACAACAATTTTATCAGCCATAGGAACCACACCTCCAAAGGGTTCAAGCGATCGCATGTTAGCCATGTCTGGACCATCACCCTCCACACATGCATACTCCGACTGACTAGGCTCCAACGGAGGTGGAGAGGGCGTCGAGGCAACCGTCACCGCCCCAAGCGAGCCCACCTTCGAGCCCAACGGAAGAAGTTTCTCAATATATCGCAAGGCATCATGGATACATTCAATATTAGATAATGTTGTGCAAGTATGTCAACATTAAAAGCTTGTATTTGCTCTCATTAAAAGCTTGTATTTGCTCTCGTGCAAAGTTGTTTGTAAAAATACTATAACCTGCAGTAGTAGAAGAATGCCTAACCAGTGAACTATGGAACAGCAGGTTGACTTTCATCCCATCAAAAATATATGCATTGTGAAGTCACACTGTATAAGCTATCGTCCATGCAAAATATAAATTACCAACATTAAAATTAACAGCCTCTTCGTTTGGATGGCAATCTAAATACAATGCTCTGGAACACTGTTTTTTGTCTGATACATTGCAAATATTCATGGAGCCAATCAAATAGGAAAGTAGCAAGCTTCTAGAAACAAACGGTCCAGTTAATTATGGAACAGATATTGGTAGAATCAAGTGGTTAACACACTGCGAACCATTGCGGATATCCATAATAGAATTTTGGAACTTGCTTCAGTAATTTACCTTCTCTAAATTTATATTGTCTAACAACTGTGTATTATATCCATTCAGAAATTTGTAAAAAATGGTAACTTCTATTATCTATGTCTTAATTTAGAATACATATCATCTAAGAACTGTTGATTACATCCATTGAGAAATTTCTGAAGAATGGTAACTCCAACAAACTACAGTAGAGAAACTCTCTCACTCACCTTCATACCAGCCGAAGAATAGCAATCAACACGAGGAGCAGACATTATCCAAGGTTATCATAATTAAGGTCACCGAATTATCTCTAACATGAATAATGGCAAATGATGTTGAGCACACGTATAACTCTGTAACATTTCTGTTCCCTTATTTTGAAGCCTTGCCTCATACCACTATTCTGACAAAGAATGCCAAGTATGAACATCACTCACTGCATGGATTCAAAACAGCGACATCAAATTAACACCTGCCTTCACCTTTTTCAAGTGGCATAAGGGTATGATTGTAAAAGTATATATATCCTGTAAATTACATTTCTTACTTATGCGTGCAATCAATTTTTTCATGTATTATAAATCCTAACTTACAACTATACCATCATACACCCATAATGATAATGGGATGAATTGTGTTCTGTCACCTTGACCCAACACGCGGTAGACATTCTTGATCTGCCCACAAAAACAACTTGGTGCATCAGCAATGATATAAAAAATCCGATGTGGATCACATGACTAATATTGTAATCTCCATAAGCATTTCTAAATTTTAAACTATTGTTTCTCGTGATGAACAAAGAGACCATTTCCCTATTGCATACAAAGGGCAGTACTGAAGCACCTTTTTTACACAAGAACAAAATAGAGATTCAACTACTGATAAAATGAGAAATTTAGCAATGAATATTAAGTAGGAAAACTACAGTTCAAAGCTTTGGTTCCGTACTGTGGCTTCTCAATACCACAAAGTATATAACATCAGGTGGTGAGGAAAAAATTCTTACGAGTCCGTACAAAACATACCCCACCAATGAAATAATGTAGAAATCAGTACCTCACCTTCAAAATCCGTCAAGCTAGAAAATGTAGAGTAGGTAAAAATATCAACCACCCAAATTTTGGTTAGCTTCGGATATAAAAGTAGGAAAATGAGCAATAGAATGTTAAATAGAAAAAGTTCTTGTCATGTTCTAGTGCCTCTACAGACTGCTAAAGATCGATGTCATGCCAATTTTGCCTGTTGGAGCTTGTTAGTTTGGATTTAGCATTCAGATATTGGCACTTCAGAATGGGCACTGAAATTACTAATATTGCAGTATACTTTTGAACATGCCAAAGCAATTATGTTTCATTTTTTTTTATAAAGCTTTGAACTTTTTGGTATTAAAAAAAGAATGTCACATTGTAGTCAATTGCACTTTCAAAAAGGATGATGTGGGCATTCAAACATAATACTCTCTGGCAAAAAACATTAAAGTAGAAATCAGTGCCTCGCCTTACAACCCAGCAGAACCAGGCCAATCCATCACAACCGAGCTTGAATCCATCAAGCTGGAGAACTTGCATTCATTTTTTTGAGTAGGAGAACATCATGAATAAAAATAGTGTAAATATGGTGTCAATCGATGATGTCGATATACATAAAAGAATGAACAGCAAGCACATACCACTCATTTAATAGTAGCCCAAGAACAACCACAAGGAAAATGATGGAATGAGAGTCAATCCAATCTCGAGAATAGACACTTGACTGCAAGCCATCAAAATCAGATCAAGGCAAGACAAATCTTAGCACATGCATACATCTAGAATACGAATTGTCAGGGAGGCGTGGACCTTGTATTACCCCCAAATTGATTATCCTGGTACTCCTCGAGCGGCATGTCACGGTGTGCCTGCAACTGGTCAGCGAGTCTGACTGAAGAACACCGTGACGTGCGCCGGATCCGCCCCCTCCATTGCTCTTCGAAACACCTTCAGCGCCCACTGCGGGTTGTGCACCGAGTAGCATCGTGTCCGCCTAACCGGCGCCCAAAAAATCAGATGCCACACATCCACACATCAGGTAGCGCGGTGGCGCGACCGTAAGGGAAGGAGGTGCGAACATACCTGCGGCAAAGTGGTCACGGGCTTGTTTACCGGACGGCTGGCAGCGAAAAGAAGATGGGTCGTGGAGTGGTGCAGAAGAGCTCCACGCGCAGGAGCATCATGTCCACTGTCTTCTTCGCCTCTCCTCAGCTCCGCCGGGAAAATCTGCATCACGCCATGCCCATATCATCATTGTCTCTCTCCAGTTTCACCGGGCAAGTTGTCGGGCATCGCTGCTCCGGTTGCTCTTGCCGGCGACGGTGTCGGGAGGACTCGCCTAGGTCGCGAGAGATGTTGGGGAGGGGAGGATCCTTCGTCACGGGCGAGAGGATCGGCGCGGGTGGCCACGAGGCGGGCGAGGGACGCGGAGGCATAGGCGGCGACATCGGCGTGAAGGGAAGCGAGGAGGGAGGAGATGCGGTCGTGGGCGGCGGCGGGGAGAGGAGGGGGTAACCTGAGCAGCGAAGGAAGGGAGGGAGATGCCGTCGTGTAAGGCTGAACCGGGCTTAACCTTGGGCCGAGCAGGAGACATGGCCCAATTAACGACAGGGCTGCAAAATAGCTACGGGAGTAGCTGCCCTTGCGACTTCAGGCCCAGTTCGTGGCGAACATAGCGTTTACTTTAGATCTGACGGCCATTAACGTTTAACAAACGAAATCAAACGGCCAGAAATGCCTAATTCATAAGAGGACAGGGATTAGGTGCAGTCTTACTGTTCTTAATGACTTGGTTAGGGTCAGGTCCTCCTGAAGTTTTGAAGATAGTTGCTGAGGATTGTAATGAGACCTTGATTGAGTAATACAAAGTTTGAGCTCGCAAAAAAGAAAAAACGGGCTACAGTATTACTCTCTCTGTGACAGTGCACGAGGCAGTCCGTCCTAGGAAGGCTACACCCCTCCTAAATCGCCCAAGCTTCCAAACCCTCCTTCTATGCAGTCTGAAACTCTGAATTGGTGCATTGTATACACCTAATTTGGCCATCCATCCTTGCTTCTGCAGTAGCTCGATGCATCATGTGTGGTTTACAAAGAGTAGCTAGCGAGCGAGGACATCCTTGAGCGCCCTTGCTTGTTCATGGCGACGCGTACGGTTCTGAATCTCTCTGGCTTCCAACTCTAGGAACTCCAGACACGGGGTTGATCAGAACGCCTTAGCTCCTAGGAACTCTCGACGATGGCGGGCATGCTCCTGACGTCGTCCATGGCGACGCGTACGGTTCGGAGGGGGTCGTCGCGGGGGAAGTTGCCGTTGTAGATCACTTCGATGTAGCCGTCGTCACCTGCTGCGCCGGAGACGACGCGGGCGGCGAGCCAGAGCAGGAGGCAGCGCCCCGTCGGCAGGATCCCGGCGCGCGTGCGCACCTTCACCGTCATGCCCTTTTTCACCCGGATCGACGAAGATGGCATCTTCTTCTTGACGTGCTCTGCCCTTGATGTCGTTTCTTGGGTCGACGTCTCCATGGTGGCAGTTCGAGATGGAGCCCGCGCGGTCGGGATGAGCGTGGGTCGGCGCGGCGGGGCGGTGCACCTCCTCTTGGTAACCTCTCCCGTCGCCGTCGGTGCGCAGGCGGCCACTAGGGCTGGCGCGTGCAGACGCAGACGGCATGGCCACTCCGCCCCGCGCGTGCGCGTGCAGGGACGACGGCTTGCTCTGGATCGACGCGTCCTTGCTGATGATTCTGCCTTTGGGCGTGGCGGCGAGCTTCCTGCGCCGGTGGAGCTCGCGGCGGATCGCGCACCGCTCCGAGGACGCTCGCTTCGCCATAAGAGCCGGCATGGCCTGGTCTTTGCCTCTTTGGTGGTGGTTGTGGTTGCGAGGAGTCGATCGGCGAGAAGATTGCGATGAAAAGAGGAGAGGCGCTGTGCTATAGATCAAGCTCGCACGAGGCGGTGGCCTCGCCATGTTGTCGTCGGAGTGGGACTGACCGGAAGCGTAGGAACTAAGCAATTGCGGGGAAGACTGGTTACCAGCGGATTAGATATCTGATGGTATTCGGATTAGACTGCACGTACGTACGTAGATTGCTGAGAGCATTTCCAACAGCCTGCGCAAAAACCGCGCGCGGGATAAACTGCGATTTTAGCGGGCATGGGACGTTTTCGCGTGTTCCAGCGGAGGCAAGAAACTCGGGCGCGCGGTAAACGATTGTGCGCGCGGTGAAAAGCGGGAGCTCTCGCGCTAGATTTGGCGCACCGCTTCCGGCGCGCCTATAAATTGCGGCGCCGGCCACGCAGCCTCCCATCGCTATGCACATTGCCACGCGCTCTCTCCCCGCTTCCTTTGCTTCCTCTGCCGCTTCCCGCACCAACGCGCCACCACCGTGCCACCATGTTGCCGCACCGCCGGGATCTTCAGGCTACCGCGGCGTCCGCGAGCGCCCCATCCGGTGCCTTCTACGCTGAGATTCGGTCTGGCAACGTCCGCTCGACCTCGGCACGTTCGAGACCGCACACGAAGCCGCCCGCGCATACGACGTGGCGGCGTGGCGCCTCCAGAGGCCTCGCGCGCAAATGAACTTCCAGCACGTCTGGACGTGCGAGCAGGCACAGGCCGTCGCCCCTCCGCCGCGGCTAATAACTGACGCCAACCGTCAGGAACACCGTCGGCGGCAGCGCCGCCTCTTCATCGCCGAGGCGGATGAGCGAGTCGTGGCCAAGTGGCGCCAGCGCCACCCGGAGGACGTCGGCAACGAGAACGACTTCTGGACCGAGAGGAGTGCAAGGCGACGCGCGGAACGGGCGGACAGGCGTCGTCGGAAGGCACGGGCGATATCGCGGTGCGATCTGGGAGCGGCATCATTCTTCTCTAGCGACGATGAGTGCTGGGAAGACGCGTGGCTTGATACGTTGGACGACACGGGCGAGGAGGATGACAATGACTCGGAGTAGTTTCTAGTTGCACCATAATTTTTACCTCGGATTAGTGTTATCTATCTATGCTAGATAAACTATCTATGTATCGCTTTTTTTTATCTATGTATCGTTTTTTTATCTATGTCTTATTTGTTTTATGTGTATAGCACAGTTTTTTTTGCAGGGCCTGCTGGAGCGGTTCGCACGCGCTATAATTTGCGGCAGCCGCTGGAGCAAGGGCTCCTCGCAAAAACTCGCGAACAGCGCACTGCAAACGTTTATTTAGCGCGCCGTGTGTTTGCGCGGCTGTTGGAGATGCTCTTATCAACGCCGATTGATTACCGGATTCTAGCTCAATGGCCCGCCTGCGTCATCAGGGCATCGGGACAGGGAATCAATCTACCGGACTCAATGGCCAGTGTGGCAATGTACATGGATGCCACCCTCCTCACCTCGCGAGTGAATTGCAACATACTGCCACATTTTAAGTTATGTTCCGGAATTGCCATCACCGTATCTCCCTTGATTCGGAACTCCGTAAATTCACCTCCTTATGGCTACAGATACAGCAAATCAATCTTTTTACTGATAGGGAGGACTCAATCGCTTGGTGTTGGAATGACTCGAAGGTCTACACGGCAGCATACCAATGTCAGTTCATCAGTTCCTTTGCCAATATGCAATTTGACAAAATATGGTCTGCCAAGGTGGAACCCAAGTGCCACTTCTTCATGTGGGTTTGGCTTCGCGGCAGAACACTTACAAATAGCAACCTGGGGACTCATGGGATCCCACACAGTGAGTTTTGCAACCTCTGCGACCAAAGTGATGAGACACCCTTGCACCTCATCCTGAACTGCCCCTACGCCAAATCTGTTTGGTTCCTGGTTGCCGAAGATTTGGACATTCCTCTGCTCATTCCGCCTGTGCAACCTGTAACCTCCATCCACTTGTGGTGGACTGACTTCGCCTCCTGTCTGGATCCGCGGGCCAAGACTGCCGCCATATAAACAGCTTGGAACATATGGAAGGAGAGGAATCGCCGCGTTTTCGAGCACAAGATGCTACAGGAGTCAGCTGTCCTGCAACTCATCAAATAGGATATCCTTCAACCAACTCTCTCCGCTCATTGGCTCTCGGATGTTGAGAATAGCCCAGAGCTGGAGCCAGACTAAATCCCTGTTCTCACTTTTGGTGGGGACACCTAAAATCCAGCTCTGTAATGCAACGTTTGTATGTTTGTTTACTCCTTAATATATAGGCAGCTCTAGCTGTCAGTTCCTCAAAAAAAATTGCTATCACATTTTTTGCTCGGCTAAAATTCTACCATTTTTCTTACTAAAATTCTCAATAAACACTAATGATCAATTTGGACGATTTAATACGGTTTCTGACATGCCGGACCCATTGGTTAGGTCCACGTGGCAGTAAGAGTCAACCACATTCGCGTTGACCGTTAAGTCAGTTGTGAGGCCCACCATCGGGAGTACCATTCTTCTTTGTGGCATTTCGTCGAATGGTTTGCGCGCTGATGGCATCGGGAGGAGTACGACGTGCACCGGCCGGAGCACCATGCCACGGTCACCAGCCGGACCCCCTGGCTGTGTCGCACGTCTCATTAGACATGGTCTCTCCTCCTCTGCCCCCGCGAGCGGTGCCCATCTCCCCTCCACCTCGAGCCGCACTATCTCCCTCCATGGAGCTCCACATCAAACGCTGTGAGCTTGTCGGGGGTGCGGACCAGGCCGGACTCGCGCTCCTTCAGCTCCTTGATGAGGTGGGCGAGCACACCCTCCTTGTACGTCATGGTCATGAGCGCTGGCTGCACCTGCATGGAGTAGAGCGGCGTGCCTCCTCGTGTGCTATCCACGAGTTCACCATGCCCAAGCTCATGGCGCGGGGGCGCGGGGAGCTGGGAACGCGGCGAGCGGTTTGGAGAGGCCGAGGGCGACACGTTCGCCTCGTCTCCCTCTCGGCAGTGAAGCGCGCGCATCGACGGAGCTCTTCAAGTTTGGACCTCCCACCGCTGCTTCCCCACACCACGGCGTCCGCCATGGCCAGCTCGAGCTCAGCTTGCTCCGTACATGAGCGCACACACACGAGCACACTCGCGTACGGCGGCACCCCCGCAACACACGGTCCCCGCTTCGCTTTCGGGCGACGCCAGTGGTTTCGTGTGGCCACTGGACAAGTCCGCGAGCCCGCGGTCGGGCTGGAGCGCTGGGCACGCGGTTCCTATGGGCGGTGTCGCGGGTGCGCGTGCTCGCGCACGGCGCGGAGGGCGCGCCACCCGACCTAGCCTCGTCGCTGCCCTCTGCTGGCTCCTGGCTCTGATGACATTCGCCACGAGCCCGGCTGCTGCCTCCAAACACTGGCCGGCTCGCCGAGGACCACACCCGCATACACGCAAAATTTCGTGTTTTGACACTTTTTGATATAAATTAAGGATCTGATCCCGGTTTGGAAGAATTTCGGAATTTGACCCTTTCGCTACCGGCAGGGTCTCTGGCGGTAGGGTTATACAGCCTACCGCCTACCGCCAGGGGCCCTGATGGTAGGCTATATAACCTTACCGCCAGCCCCCCGGCAGTAGGTTGTGCCAGAGTTTTTGCGTGGAAAACCTTCTGTAACGAAAAAACCGAGTGCCCTGGCGATAGGGTCAACCTACCGCCATAAGTGTTGGAATTTGCTAGTGGGCTTTTGGCCCAAAGCCCAACTAAAATTCTGAAATTCTCTTGCCCATTTATGCACACATGTGAGTGGAGTGAGTGAGACTAAAGTTTAGTCCCACCTCATAAGTTGAGAGAGTTGCACCTCTTTATAAGGTGAGCTCTCCTACCACTTGTATGAGCATGAGAAGAGGAGACCTACACGCGCGCTCCTCCTCCTCGCTCGCCTCGCCACGCCACGCCACGCCTCGCCTCGCCTCGTCACGACGCGCCGCGGGTTGCGGGTTGCGGGTTGCGGGATTGAGCCGAGCCGAGGACAGACCTATGCACGTTGTCTATATTTTTGCTGCTCGGGAAAAATTAATGAGTTATTAATTAATAATTAACGGACGCGTTAATTACTGAAGCGTTTCCGATTCTTTTGGATCGTGACGACTCGGACGTGGGGTTTACTCCCACGACCTACCCGGCCCGCACTATATAGTAAGGCAGACGTCTACCCTAGCCGCGGCCGCTTCGTATGGTTTCTCACCACCGCTCCAGATCATTGCGTCGCCAAGCAAGTCTTCTCCATCCCTCCTTCCGGCGTGCACTGGGAGAAGGGACAGCAGGCCTCCGGAACCCCACCTCTCGTGATCCTGTACGGGAGAGGGGCGATCAGGTTTTTGGGGAGCGCACTCGCGCGACTGCTGGCAGCGACGACTTCGCGAACGACGACTTCTTCCCCGACCTCGGCAACCTCATCCTCGACGACATGGGCGACAACGTCAACGCCGGCAGTGCTGCTCCCGCTGCACCGTACGTGATTCTATCTTTCTTGTTCGAGATCGTGGTAGAATTCATGTTTCTAGTATGTGCCCTAGATGTGATCTGTTCATCTGCTATGCTAGTTCGCATGATTAGTTCAATCTCTGCTACTGTAGTCATGATTTATCTTAT